AGCCGCATATCATTCTCTTCCACCGGTGGGGCTTTTAATGCTTTCTAGGGTCGCCACTGGCCAGCAAGGACTCAATTTGTATGGAAAAATATGTGATTGGATGCTTGGAGCAGAACGTGAGAAGAGATGAAAGGGGTCTGGGATAATGAGACACAAAAGGGCCACAGCGGAAGAAAGAAAGGGAGAACCGAAAGAGGATGCAGACATTTGCGCAGACCAGTACACAGACAGAGAGAGATGAGGTAGCAAGAGACCGAGGCACGTAAGTGAGAGCTGGAGCGAATCACAGCTTACCAACAGCGGTAACAAGACCGACAGCTGTGCTGACCGGTTGCAGGTAGTCGCAGACAGCTGGCAGAGCCATCTGTGGTGAAAGCCGAGAACCAGCGTTGCAGTGTGCGCGGTGCGGTCCTCCGGCGCTGCAAATCGCGTCGACCAATCCTGCCAATCAACGGGAATCCCCTCCAACCAATCCTGCCAATCAACGGGAATCCTCTCCAACCAATCCTGCCAATCAACGGGAATCGTCGCCGACCAATCCTGCCAATTACCGGGAATCCTCACCGACCAATCCCGCCAATCACCGGGAATCCTCGACCATCAATCCAGCCAATCACCGAGCAACGCGTCGCTCAAGCACGCTCGCTCAGACGATGGAACTGACGCATCACGCGCAGCCATCTCAACGCGGTATGCCGCCGGTGTAATACACGGGAATGTGAACATCTTCGTCCAGAAATCTGTTTTCTGTTGATTTGCAAGGATATTTACCAGTGTAAGATAATTATCAGGCTCCGTAGTTTTAGTGAAAGCTGTCATGTCAAAAAGCTTTAAACAAAATGTCCCGAACATGTTGCCAGCAACAACGCCCTAGACAAGGTATGCAACGTGGCGATCAGCTGAATGTGTTCACACTACAGTGGACAGCTGATTATGACGTAGCACCCAGCTGCCCCTAGACAGCGTCCCTACACCGTCATCCTTAAGGGACGCAGTGACAGTTTTCGGGTGGGTCTTCATTTGCTGCTCTGATGAAACAGCTGAGAGCTCGACTGAAATATTCGACTGCGCGTTGGCAACGCTGCACAGCAGATTTTCGTTTGATAAATTACATTAAAGATCACGCAGTTGTTATTGACTTTGACTTACCAAATTACGTGTCACAGGTTTACAACCACAATTATGTATAAGTCGTTCAAAAGCAATCATATGTATTTTGCTGACCAAAGTTTCATCAGCTTGCCAGCATGACTTCAGTTCTGCATTCTTTTATCGTGTTTCAGCGGCAAAACTTCGCAAAATAAGTTGGGAAAATGCTAGGGTGCGGGAACTACGTTCCAGTTGAGAGTCCAACTTCAAAATGTCAACATATGGAGTCTAAGATTGTATACTGTATCCGCTACAAGCCAGAGTGTGCCTCATACCAATATCTTGGGAGCGGAACTGTACCCGATCCGTGACAATTTCAGGCGTAGCCAGCATAGCCAAGCACGAGACGCCCGTCCACAACATAACACGCCATTCTCACTAGATAACTTGTGTACAACACCCGTACTTGGCTTGGGTTTAAAGCCTTCTCCTGAGGGAGGCAGCGGCCGGGCCCCACTAACATATTCTGGCTGTGTCCCTTGTCATAAATGTCATGTAAAGTGCTTTTTCGTCGCAGCTGCCGTTTAACACCAACTCCTCAATTATAGTTTCAAAAGGTAATATTGTAACCACCACACGCAGCGCGAAGTTCATGCTTACGGAAAATACTTGCGGAAGAGCGAGAAAAGTTGTTGTAGTGAAGAGTTCGAATTTATCTTACATCACGATGACAAAAATAACACAAATTTAGAGCTCATTCTCATCAACATCACATCCATCTAAGCTAATGTAGCGACATCTAATCAATTGTGGGAGCTAAAAAATCACCGCAGCCGGCAAACCGCTCCAGACCGCACTTTTTCGCCGATAATTTTGAGTCCTACATTTTACAGGAAACCACGTTTTTAAGAAAGTTATGCGGAGTCCACC